TATCAAAAATACAATAACTTTTAATCTCCTCGTACGAATATCAGAGAGCACTTTCTCAGTGAACAACATCAATATATTTTACTTCAGTTTCTTCTTCATAAAAAACAACAACTAATACATAATCAAGATAATCAATCAACAGTACTTTCTTCTACAACAATAACTACTAATAGAGAAGTCGATGAGACTTCTCTATTTAACTTTAAAGAATTATTTGAAATGTTAGATATTCTAAGCGGTGGTCTTCATGCATTAAGTGATGATACTCAACGTCTCACTTTGGAATCAATTCAATATATAAATTCATTACAATCTTTGTCTGAAGACATGTCAAAATTAAAAATTGCTATTGAAGAAACTCATGCATCAATAGATGCTCATCAAATCAATCAACAATTAATGGAACAAAGTCTTATGTCACTTCAACAAGATCTTGATGATCAAAAGAATATGTCCAATGACGGTACACTTTTATGGAAAATTACAAATGTTCAACAAAAAATAGGTGTGTTTAATAGATTTTTCTTTTCAATAATATTTTACTTGAAAATTAATAACAAAGTTGATTAGTCTCAGACAGAAGTATCGTAAAGAGAATAAGAATTCATATCAAAATTGACTTATCGTTTGGATACTGTTTGACTAATGATTAGGTTTCAAATACTATAAGCTCACAACTTTCGGAAATTGAACATTTTTTTTTTGAGAAAACTTCGAAGATAAAATGAAATTGATATAGTTTCTGGTAACATATGCATTAAAACTAAGCAGCAATACTAATTTAATGAGAACAGCTTGGGTTTCGTTGATTATAATAAAAATAATATCAAAGCCTTAAAGTTAGTTACTATACTAGTCTCTAAAATATTAGCATTATTTAAATCCTTTGAGAACGAGCTTACGCTTTGAGGAAACATAAGTTTTTTTAAACTATTGAGTGGTGTCACATATCCCGAATTTTAGAGAAGTGCTCACTTCTCCCATGGGAGATACGGCATCTCCCGCGGAATATGCAGCACCCAGACTCGAGAGATGCGATGATTTACCATTAGAGATGTGTTATCTCCTTTATAGATACACATCCCCCACACGAGATCCTGCATCTCTCGCTGAAAAGACAGCATCGCTGAGAAGAGATGTGGGTACTTCTCTAAATTTCGGGATATGTGACACTGCTGGACTAATGCTTACGTCATGCTTCTCGTCTTTGCTTCAAATTCCAATAAACTATAACATTGAATTTCGCCTTATTATTTTCCTATCTATCTTTTGATCTTTAAAGTTGACGCTAAGTGTGGAGGGCAGCTATCTATCTACTCTCCAGTGTTTTATTCGTCACCGAATGGTTATAAAATGCGACTTCGTCTATATTTGGATGGTGATGGGAATGCTAAACGTACTCATATGTCTCTCTTCTTCGTACTTATGCGTGGAGAATACGATGCCATTCTTCATTTTCCATTCAGCTTCAAAATAACATTTGCTCTTCTGGATCAAACATCTCATCAACAACATATTATCGGTTCATTCCGGCCTGATGGGAAATCAAGTAGCTTTCAAAGACCTCGTTCAGATATGAACATTGCTTCTGGCATACCTAAATTTGTACCACTTACAATAATTCAACAAGATAACAATCCCTATGTTGTCGATGATACTATGTTTATAAAAGTTATAATTCATTTTGGTGATATACCGAAGTCACTACTATCATATACATTAAATCTCAATCCCGGCTTGCCAGTTCAAGCCCAAATGGAATCGATCAAACGAGAATCAGCAAAACAAACCAAAGATAACTCACTAGCTACAATCAACGTATCTACGTCACCTAAAAATTAAATACAAACGAGCAATAATCCTAGTAATGATGAACAGATACAACGTTAATACCTTCAGTGCATTTGTTTTCTAATATCATTTGTTCTTATATATTACTAATCTAGAAATAGATGATAAACTAGAAAATGATATAACTGTTGTTTCCGTTCTCTCTCAGTAAAAAGAAGGAATGATATTGAAATATGAAGAATCACAAATCACTACCGAATGTTCTGAGTTGAAGATATGGTGTGGGTGTGGGGTGTGGGTGTGTGTGGGTGTGTGGGTGTGTGCGTGTGGGTATGTGCGTGTGGATGTGGGTGTGTGGGTGTGGGTGTGGGTGTGTGAGGGCGTTGGCGTGGATGAATGATACTGACCCCTACACCCACAACCACACCCACACCCACA